GCCAGGTTGGGTTGACAGAGACCAGACTGTTTTACAAAGTCTACAGTGGAGTTGGGAATAGTCTTTATTCAGCTGCATGGTCTTGTATTAGTCTTCATACTCTAAGATCACGATAAGTGTCCAGAACTAATACTGTATGTGGAAATTCATTTGGTGTTATTGGTAGGTATGGCGTGTCCTGTGCACACCGTGTCGGTGGAACTCCAAGAGTGCTGTCAGGAAGTCAGCTCATTTTTAACAGCAATGTCTTGACTTTACCTCCTGCACTGAGACTAAGGTCTGCTCCTGAAGCAAATCGTGTGAGTCCTGTGATGATGAAATGCAGTGACACAGTGGCAGGAGGTACAGGCTGGCTTCCTCCTCCACCTGCTGTCACAGAACTAATGCTTTTACTTTGCCCAATCCAAGACTGGGGTACAATGCAGGGATGGTACACAGGGTGGAGGACAATGGGAAGAGACAGTGGACAGGAATAAACTACACACCAAGAAGTATGGGATGGAGCAGCATGTTGTAATACCATTTAGAGATTTCTAAAGGAACTAAATAGCCTACATTTCCATGTTATAGTACTTTACTCCACTAAATTTCAGAATGAATTATTGTACTTTTTATTGAGCTACATTTATTTGACAGCTATAGTTACTAGCTACTTTTCATCTTAAAATTTTACATTAAAAACATATGATGAACTTTTATTTATATAAATTTCTTTTGACATTTTGGCCTGACCCACTGGACTAAACTACCTACTTATATGAAATAGTTAAAACTAGCTGAATGTAAGCTATAATATCAGCCACATGGCAGAATTTGGACTTTTACTTTTGATACTTTAAGGTCATTTTGCTGCTAATCCTTGTATGCTGCTCTACTTTTACTTTACTCTACTTTTAAGATTCTGAATGCAGGACTGTTATTACACTAATTAATTGGTACTTTCACTTGCTTAAAAGATGTGGATACTTCCTCCGCCAATGTCTCTCAGCAGAGAACAGCATCCGGCAAATCACATGACGTCATCTGGCAACTTCTAGCTAGTTTTTTTTTTTTTTTTTACCAGCCAATAGCTCTACTTCCCTCAGCAAAGCACTGGCAGCGCCGGCAGTCTCTAAATTAGCTGGAAGCATTAGCAGGAGCTCTTCTCCCATGAATGATCAGATTTAAAGCTCTGGGCCGCCTGGCTCAGGTCAGACTGGTCCCTCCTCCAGCCGGGCAACCTGGCGCAGACTGTCTAGCCAGCTCCAGCAGCTTGGCCAATGTCACCTTATTTTCGGCGGATCACGGGACCTCATCCTTGCGTTGCCTGGCCGTTGATCCAAAGCGATGACACCGAGGCTTCATGGTCCACTGCTCCACGCCAACCAGGCCGAATTAGCACTGCCTTTGAACAGGTGTGATATGGAACACACCAGCAGTGTGTGTGTGTGTGTGTGTGTGTGTGTGATTCTGATTCTGAGTCTGTCTTTGTGGGTGCCCAGGTCTTTTTTTTTTTTAAACTTCTTGTAGCATTTCTTTATAAACATAGCAGATTTTGGACACACATTCTCAGCTGTTCAAAATCCTTACAAGGCCAACATTTAAAGTAACATCATCATCAACATTTCTATAGGCCCATCAATCTGACAAAAAGGGACTTTAACATTTTAACAATTGAAAAGTCCTTATATTCAAAGTAAACATGTACACTAGGCATACCTAATTAGGCACACCTAATTGGTGTGAACTTCACGTCAAACCATAGCTAGTCGTATTTATATTCCTGTTTGTGTGTGGATCAAACAAATATGAGATATAACTTGAAGACATTTTGGCACAAGAAGCACAGGTGTGGTTAATAAAAAGAATGATGGCTGAATTCCATTTAGCTGCTTCAGTTTCAGGATGCTGGTATTGTTCATGGGGGCTCACTTTCACACTGTCATGGCTTATAGCCTACCGGGACACTTGAAGACAACAGAGTCATTGTTGTTAATGTATTAGCAACACCAGTGCTTTTCCTTCTATGACAAGTCAAAATGTCTGCAGTGAAAAAGGTCTATCGGTGAAGATTCCACTTCATTTAGTATGTCCCTGTCATGTAGCCAGGCGGCTAACACTAGTTAGCGGCTCTCTGCAGATTTGAGACAGCATGAGCGGAGGAATTAGTGTGCTGACTCTTCTGCTGATGTCCATACTTAGTTGCAACATCTAGCACAGCCAGTCTGTTATGTGAATAGGTATAATGGTGACAGATTTGCTGGTGTTGTATTTTTCTTGCTCAACTGTCTTGCACATGAAGTCTTTCTGCATCTTTAGTGTGAGCATGCATTGTAAATCGTCCCCTAATAAACGAGCGGTATCGACCCTGTAACCTGTGAAAAGACGGCAAGTATGAACCAAAATGTTTAAGAATTTTTTTTTTAAATAAGGGAGGAGTACCAGTGACGTCAGACAACTTCACACATTTTCTATCCAAATTTACTCAGCACATGATCACTTGTCTTTGTATCGCAGGCAGGTTTTTTTTCTTTGTCCGAAGAAAATACTCTTGAAGATGAGAGTTTTTTCCGGAGCTATGTATAAAAAGTGAATCTGAATGTGTCAGATGAAACCTGTAAGCCCCAGTAAACTGCCCAGGGATTTATTCCTCGCCGCTCCAAATGAAAGACCTGAGAAGAGGTCAGGTGCTCAGTTTGCCTTGGTAGGCGACTTGGTGCTCTCCTGAAACCATTGGAACATGGGTAAAATATCAGCTGATTGGCACCCACAGTGCAGGTGTTTGATGGAAGTAGGAAGCGAGCCCCCGCCCCCACCCACCCACCCACCCACACCAACACACACACACTCTCTTTCACATTCTATTTGATCTGCGGCTGGCTCTGCTCTCCCTGTGTCTCATTGGAAGCAAAACAAATTCACCAGCCACTGAATAAACAGGAGCTCTGCAGAAATGATAAAACAATAGAAAGGTTCCTATACATTTTCCACATTGACCTCTGTCTTCTTCTGATTAGATTTTTGTCTCACTTGCCTGCTCACAGTTTCATTTTTCTTTGCAGTGCATTATTTTGACTGGTCCCTGTGTTACTTTCCATATTGGCTGTTGTGGAATTTAGCTCAGCCAAATGTGTGATAAATGTGACCACAACTACCACCATTGATTTGTACATTCCCTTGCTTTGCTGTAAACTCTGAACACACATACTATGGCACTGGAGGTTGTTTGCTCTGACTCCCCCGCCTGCTGGGCAAGTTACGGCCTGTCCAGCACTAAAAAATAATAATATTGCAATGATTTATGA